GAATCCAGTATTTGAAAAGGTAAGTAAGTCTCCACTGCAGATTTACAACGTAAAAGTCTACGTTTAATAAAATCATCAAGATTTAAGACATCATTTTGAACACATCAACATATATATAGTTTAAATTTATCATATCAAATCTATAAAAGATACACATAAATCAACATCTATGCATTGTGTAAGTATGAGGAAATTTATATTTTTCTGTGGTGTCTCAGTGGTGTATGGAATATGTGGTTGCTATGCCCCACACTTGGGTAACATAATTAGTGCTGTGTTTTGGGTACGGGCTTGCTGGGAGCCCATATTGAGCCTGAAGCTGGGGTTTGACAGTGCTAAGAGTTAAGTGAACAAGATCATACTGTACATATCAAGTCGTTGTATTTATTGATATTTGAATGTGATGATAGATGGAATGCACTCAAGTTCTAACACGTAGATCTAAATATTCGTTAATCGTGATCGTGATCGCCTTTTGCCTGAAACAATAAGGCTCATGGGGTAGTAAATCCTAGTAAAAGGAAGAAACCATAACCAGTCGACAACAGGCCTAAAGGAAAAAGGACGCACAACTGGGCAAAAAGAAAAATTATGCAGTAATCATGCCAACCACCCATCCTCCCCTTCACAGTTTTGACAACCAATACTAATCTTTGCCCCTTCCCATACAATCACCCAATCCTCCGTCTGATGCGGCATGACCCCGCGAACCTCCATTTCATTCCTCGCTGCCTCAAACCAAATCTCCCGTAGGCGGGGCGGCCTCCTACTTTCTTCCCCACTCCCATATACTTTAGAGGCCTGCTCATCGTTCTTAATCGCATCTAAATCGGCTTGCATATTCCGCATGAACTCCCTCCGTATGCTGCGCTGGTTATTACCCCCTCCCTTCTCAGCGGCGAAAAATTCGGCAATCCGGCCTAGCCCGGATGTGGTGAGCAGCATGCTAATCCACAGATCGCAAGACGTGGGGAATGGCGGCTCGGAGGAGAGTGTGAGTTGCAGATAGGAGACGAGAAGGTAGATGCAATGGTGGGTCGACACGAGTGTTCGGGTGTTGGTAAATGGAGGACTACTGACGATTTTAGCCTGAAGTTTGCGGAACATTATGGTGCGGTCGGCGGGTTGAATGGTGACAGGAAGTCGGCCAGCTTTGTATACGGCGTAGAGGTTGGACTGAAGTTCAGACCGGGCCTGCGCGTATGTCTCTAAGAAGAACAGAGTATAAAACCTAGGATAGTGGTTATTAGCCGGCTACGTCAATTTAAAAAAAAAAAAAGTAGTAAATAGGCTGGGTAATGATGGCGCCGCCGCTGGGCAATTATGGAGATGTTTGTATCTACTCACATGAGGGGTGTAAGCTTGAATTGCAGCTGCGCTATTCCGCCTTCACGATAGGCTTGAAAGTCCTTTTTAGATGTAAATACAGCTCTATGAGCAGGATCACTTTGCAAGTACCTCTCCAACACACTGTCCGCGAGATGATTTGCAAGTTTGGAACACGCTTCCTGCCTCCTCCGCAGACTCCAGAGGTACCGGAATGAATACACATCATTCGCACCATTTTCAGCCCTGGGCGGTGGAAACAGATCCGAGAGAAGAATCACATCATCCTCCGGTTCTCTTGTATATGTTCTTGATTCATCGATGGGAGATGGCAGACTTCCATGCCTCCGCAACCGTAAATATTCACGCGAAATGGCCTGCTCGTGAATATCTATAAGGGTGCTGAAAGCTCGGGAGACCAGTTTCAGATTAACCACGTCCTGCAGTCGACAACGCCTGAAGATATTGATCTTGATCTCAACTGGGAGCCTGTCCCAGCACGAGGATGTGCTAACTCCGTCGAAAGCTAGTGTTTCATCGTCACTACGGCCACAGGAAACTTTTGGTCAGTGGGCGTATTTCCTAGATAGATAAATATATGAACGTAAGATTCGTTTCTCAAGCTGGATTTGACTCGAGTGGGAGTTGAATTTGGGTATCCTGTCTGTACTAGTAGTTTTGTAGCCGTATTACATACCATTGGTTTTTCTTTAGATATACAGCTTTCGCCCTGTCGATTGCTGCTCGGAATTTCCGTGCCCGCATCTCGAGGCTGTATGTATAGCGTCGTGGTGAAGAGGTGCAGCAGGTGTGCGAGGATGGTAGTTGCGCCTGGTATTGATGTATTTAACCATTTAACCGGCATATTCTCGGAGTTGCCCATTGTCTTTGTAGTGGGTCTGTCTCAGACACTAGTTCACCAATGCTTTTCAGGTAATTTTGCGTATTCCTCGGTATTACTAGTATTTTTGTTTGAGGAGGGGTTTGTTGCTATGAATCTTGTCTAAAGAGGCAAAAAAGAAGAAGGAGCCTCATCCGCTAGTCCTACAGTGTCAGGTATTAAGTTG